GGTGTCGATCCGGCCTCTTTGACTTCCATTTTTCTGACAGATGAAAAGAAAGCATGACTTATTGGAACAGAGACTCCATTTCCTCAGAGCATAAAGATACTGTCCATCAAAAAACGAGATATGAATCCTAAATTTTTCCATCGTAAGTACACAAGGTAACCAGAATTGTCTTCAAAAACACAAGCAGAAGTAAAAGCTAAGTAAACGGGCCTATACTAAGCTGTAACATCAAGCAAAGGAGTCGTGCTGCGCAAAAGCTTGCTAATAAAAAAAGTTCGTAGCAGAAAGTTCAAGCAAAAAGATCCACAGAAAGAGATTAATCATGTATAATCTCTAGCCTTTTGTCATCAACTTGTTGTCGATGGCTCAACGACATCCTCAGCACCATGGTGCACCATGGTGCTGAGGATGTCGTTAATCAAGGAAAGAGTTGAAGCTCTTTCTATTGCTAAGCTGTCATTAATCAAGATCTTCACTAGTTAGCCTATGTAGTGTAGCTCAAACAGTAGACATATTTGCATTATGTTATGGGGCGCTCTCTTCGCAGCCATTTGTAACTATAGGCACATAAGTTTCGACCCGCTTTAGGCGGAATTTGGATTGGCGGGCGTCCGCCTTGCAGCGGTTTGCGCCGTTTCGCAGATACAGTGTATCATTTCACGCTGAGAACCCAAGTGCGTCTCTTCATTCTCCTTAGTCTTTGCTTGGCCGCCAGGGCTATGCGCTCGCGAAGCCTCCAGCAATGCCACGCGCTGCTCCACCCAAAATTTTTCGTCTAATCCGGGATAATCGACTGTACCAGTGTCAATGGCGACGGTCAGTTTTCTTGTAGTTCTCAATTCAATTTCCTTCATGATTTTTTATGTTTTTTAGAACTCGCAAAAGAGCCTGGCTCTGCTGGAAGAGATGTACGTGCCAATGAATTTCAAGATACACAAATGCGAGGAAGGTGTCCACGCTGTATAATGTTCTTCCTCGCTGCCTAGAATACAAAGACTTGCACTTGCAGAAATTTGCGATGTGCGCTAAGGTTGATGAAATCGTTTTCCATTGTCTTCTCAGTGTTCAAAAATTACTCTGTCTTACGTTTCTTTGGCTCTTATATGATTAGTTGTAGGTGTTGTGAACTGTAACAGCGAACTGGGTGGTAGAGTCTTCAGATTTCGAAAAGATGGTTCTTGATGACACAAGCAGAATCGACAATCGACGAATCGCACAAAAAATACATTTGCGTAGGTTTTTGAATCTTTTTTTCTTTCCGATTCTTTTTATAGTATCTTTATTTGATATGCAGTCCATATCTTTAAAGCGAGTTTGTAGTAGTCCTTCGGCAAAGTCCACGCGATTTCGTTGCCTTGCGATTCTCCCATAAAACTGTTACGAGTCCATTGCATGCCGACTAACTTGCAATTCGGTTGTGAAGCTAGTCACGATTGGCTGTGATGGAGAGCTATCACGACCGAAATGTAAGTTCACTGGCATGCAATGGACTAAGGTAGCCCGAGGCTTTAGCGGTAGTAACCTTTGTTTTCGCACCAGAGAAAATGGAGCGGCTAGTTTTTAGTAATGTTCATCGAATTCCGTATGGTTGTGGTGCGTTGTTGCAAAACCAATACCGTAGACGTTTGCACCTTTGAATGATGCATTTGGCCCCGGGCAGACTTCACGCGGTTTGATCGTCGCGACTGAATCGCGAGGAGACAACTGTTACAACATCATTCCATGCTGATCAACATTCATTCGGTTGTGATACTTTTCCAGCCCGAAATTTTCGAATGTGAAATGAAAATGAATGGAAATCCTGGCGATTAGGTCGCAACGATTAAGTCGCGTGAAGTCTGACCGGGGCCTTTCGCTAAATTTATTCAACCACTTTTCAAATGGAATGACAATGAAATCTTGGAATTTTTCCCTGTGTTGTAGTCTCTGTCGTGTAATACGAAGTTGTGGTCAACTACATTTTTTCAGAAAGAATCTACTGGAGTTGGATTGGCCAAAAGGATCCAGAGTGAATAGAATTGACTCACTTACAAGTCATAAGTGACTCTCTGTTTACAACGGACTTACAATAGTGTTTTAGAGTAGTGTAGGCCTCCTTCCTAACGGCAGTATAGCATCCCTTGTGGAGAGCTAACATCGGTATGGTCATCTTTGCGCATTACTTTCTTTCTTTCTGGTTCTTTTGCTTTCATCTTTCTGCTTTCTGCTCATTGTAAGAATTTGAAGCCAATCCGCCTATTGTGAAGGTGCCTTGGTCGTTGACCGCACGGACTGGCCATTGATTTTAGAGACGCACCGCGTGAGCAGCGCTTGTACTAGTACAAATTGCTATTGTACAAAACGCGCTCTCGCACCATTTCAGCCGCGCCGCGCTTGCTCCGCAGTCTCCTGCCTGTCCGTGCACTCGTCGAACGACAAATATGGTGTACTCATGGCCTATAGTCCACTGATTTCAGGCTCATGGTACATTCAAAGTATCTTCTCCGCTTTCTTCGCTCTTTCATTTCATTCCATTTCAGGTGAACTACCACTTGCCTAACTTGCGAGGTATCGTTGCCGTCGGCAGTCAGTTTACAAGTTTCCAATTTTTCGATGCGGAAACATGACTCATCCGGAAGTAATCCCGTTAGATGGTTTTCAAACACATTGAATTTTAAAAGGCATACAAGCGCACAACCTGGAAACAGTTGCCTTTTCTCTTTTGTCCTCTCTTGTTGAAACCTCGGCATGCTTGAAATTGTGTCAGTATTGCTTTGCCAGCACGAGGTTTGGGTGAAGCTTTATTATCATCAGTGGCCTAACGTTTCGACTACTCGTCGTCTTCAGAGGCCTTTGCTTCACCGCCAATGCACTTGAAGTAGTCGAAACGTTAGGCCACTGATGTTAAGAAAGCTTCACCCAAACCTCGTGCTGGCAAAGCAATACTGACACATTTTTCAAACAGTTGCCTAATGTTTTTCGCTAATAAAAGACGTTGACTATATTTGTGACATTTGCTAAAAAAGGGAAGAAGGAGAGGGTCTTAGTCTAAACGGCTGCGTGGGGAGCATAGGTGCCATAGAGAGAGCCGGGCTCTTTCCAGGTGAAAGGGGTCTCGGCTGTTTCCGACCTTCCAGGGTGAAAAGGGCATGTGAGTCTAGCGGAGGGGGGAGGGAGGAAGAGAGAAAACTTAAAAAAAGCGTGGTATGAAAGATTTTACATCAAAGTAAACGATAGTGACACATCGGAAGAGTTCTTACTGAGTAAAGTAGTTTATGAATAATCTGTTGTTCTAAAGAATGTAGAATTTTTCAAATAATTGCCATAGTCCCGCAGCAACAAAAAGCGATAGATGACCAATTTCTTGTTGTTATACGAGTAACATGAACACGAGTTGAACCTAAAAACTATAAAATTATGAAAAAAAATTATCGAAGCCTGATAAAAATTCAAAATCAAATTAGATGCACATTGAAGAAAGTACCTCTGTATTGTTAAATCTCTTGACTGAATTTTAGTGGAGAAACATTGTCGTACTACATTTTTATGTAGTCGACATTGTTTCTCCACTAAAATTGTTTATGACTAAGGGATGAAGTATTTTCGAAGATATATCTTTAACTAAAAAGAAATATTGAATATACTACCTAACTGTGTTCACATAATTCATCCTGCACCCTATGTACGTTTTTGTCATCATTATTGCATGAGAGAGGTATGTGACTATTCAGATCGTGTTCATAAAGAGTTTCTAGATGATCCATAAAAAAATTTTCTGGATGAGTTGGGCTTATCATAATATCTGAAACAGTTTGAAATTGTTTATGAAGGTGTATCCAACGAATTACATGAAATTCATCTTTTTTATACCTATTACTATGATTAAGTTGATTAACATTAGATAAAATAACTTTAGAGTTATTTTATGAAAGAGTTGTAAATTCTCCTATTTTTCTGTTACTTGAAAGTTGTGAATCTTGATTCCAAAATTCTAAATGTTTGAAACGCCTTTTATTTTTGACCAAGTAATTAAAGTTGCAAGAATATAATGGCAATACGACTAAATAATTGTATCGTGAGATATTACATTTTGGTTAGAAAAGGGGCAGCATTTTATTTTTTCAATATGGTTTTTACTAAATGAGTTTTCTAACGGGCACTGTCTTTTTATGAACTAATCTTCTTCGCCTACCTTTTCTTCTAACTGTCTTTTCAAACGGAAGGAAAGATTAACACTAGAAAATTTTATCGGAAAGAAGATTCACACACGCACTTTGATTTAGCGAATCTGCTACATCGCTCTAAAATTCAGAAAAAAGGTATTATGTCACGAATGGGTCTCGCTTGCGTTGTCAGCTGGACGAATTGTAGTGTGGTTAGGTACATGGTTGTAACAAATGTCAGCTTGGGCGAAGCCTACCGGCAATCAACATTTTCGATCCACATAATTTACCGGATTACCGGACAAATATGCATGCTTATTACTATTGACTATGACTATGCTTATTTTGCTAAATTGTATGCCGGCTTTCTATGGTGTGCTTAAAGTGTTCCGAGATGGTAGTCCATATACCATTAGCATCACATTCACCTCGTCTTATTGAGCATAAATCCTAAACGCAGACATAACTATTTTCTTTCTTTTTTCGAGCAAGTAAATTTGTAGGCTGTTGTGCGTTCGAATAAAAATTCAAAATCAAATTAGATGTACATTGAAGAAAGTACCTCTGTAATGTCAACTTTTTCAAACTAAATTTTAGTGGGGAAACTTTGTCATTTGGTAACATTGTCATTGTCAACATCTATCTGATTTCGGCTATTTTAGGGAAAGTGGTAAATTCTCTTACTTGTTACTGGAAACTTGTGAATCTTGATTTTAAATCCCTAAATGTTTGAAACACATTTTTATTTGACCAAGGAATCAACGTTATAAGAATATATTTACAATACGACTGAATAATAGTATCGTGAGATTGTACAATTTTTGGCTATGGAAAAGAACACCATGTTATTGTTTCAGTATGATTTTGACTAAGTGAGTTTTCAAAGGGTCTATCTATGAACTAATCTTCATCGCTTAGGTTTGCTTCCAACTGTTCACCAAACAATTTTAATTGGAAAGAAGACTACACACACTTTCACGTAGCGAATTTGATACGTCGCATTAAAATTCAGGAAAAGGGGTATTATGTCACGAATGGGTCTCGCTTGCGTGGTCAGCTGGCACAAACTATAGTGTGAGTAGGTTCATGGTTGTAACAAATGCCAGCTTGGGTGAAGCCTATCAGCAACCAACGTCTTTGATCCACATAATCTACCTGATTACCTGACAAGTATGCATACTTATTACTATTGACTATGACTATGCTAATTTATTTGATAAAATGGATGTTGGCTTTCTATGGTATGCTTAGACCCCAAATGGTAGGTATTATACCATAAGCACCACATTCACCAATCCTAAACGCAGACATACAATTTTCTTTATTTTTTCGGGCAAATAAAATTGTAGATTGTTGTTCGTTCCGATAAAAATTCAAAATCTAATCAGATGCACATTGAAGAATATATCTCTGTACTGTCAACTTTTTCAGAATGAATTTTGGTGGGGAAAAATTGTCATTTGGTAACATTGTCATTTTCAACATGGTATTCTGGTTTGGAGCCATTTTTAAAAGAGTCGTATATTCTATTACTTTGGTGTTAATTAAAACTTGTGAGTCTTGATTTAAAAGTTCTAAATGTTTGAAACATTTTTTTTGACTTAGGAATTAAAGTTGCAAGAATATATTTGCATTACGACTGTGTAATTCTATCGTAAAATTATACAGTTTTTGGTCAGAAAAGAGCAGCATTTTATTGCTTCAGTATGTTCTTGATTAAATGAGTTTTGTAACGGGCACTGTTCTTTTATGAAACATCCTGTGTACCAGAGCGTGCATACTATGACTCTCCCAATCAAATTTACGCGTAGCGTACTAAGCGTGTGATATTACGATTTCAACCTAAAAATTATAGAATTTATTTTTAGTATGTCCGAGAAAAAGGAGAGCTATCAGGATTCTGTCAATAAAAAAGTGTTACTTGAATGGGTCACGGTTACCGGTTTAGAAAACCCTCGGAAAAAGCCGTATGACAGAATCCTGAACGATTTCGCTGTAAAAGTTTTAAAGTGAGTGAACACCGATTATAAATGTGGATTTATTATCTATTAGCCATAATAATATTGAAATTTTTGAGATACCCGGTGGAAAAACCTATGGCCTTTACTTGGCCGACTTCGGCGGGGATGAGCAACAACATTCAAGCAATACGAGTAAATTTGTATCTTATTTCGTATCTTCGTGATAACTTCTGGATTGTTTAGGCAAAGGTATCTTTCGAATTTCGGAAATACTTCATTAGTGAGGGCAGAAATTTGCTATTGGAGTACAACAAGCAAAACAATAATGATGTGTGTATATCCCATGAGCAAACTTTGAAAGTCTCGGAAACGGAAAGGCTGGGGTACATTATTTCTATTAATTTTTAACAATTAACAAGGGTATTGTGAATGATTTATTTACATCATATATATCAGGAAATACATTAGGGATGTTCACGTTCAGTCTAAGCGTAAATGTCCAGAAATGACATTCAAAAAAGGAGTCCTGCAGATTGGTAAAGAGTATGTGAGTTTTAATTTATTTAATTTCATTTTTTACTTATGGGGGGGGGGGAGGGAAGCGGGAAAGAATCAATTTCAATAATCTGTTGATTTCAGTCTTTAACCCCTCCTATGGCTGCTATCAAGATCATTATAAACATGTCAGCATGGACTGGACTGCCCTTGAAGGAATTACTTTTGCCTGCGAAAAAGAATCAATGGAGGTGATCTTTTTTTTCTTTATTTTTTCCAAAATGGTTATTGCACCTTTTATAAATATTAGGTCGTCTCGAAAGTATTTTCGCTTTTTTCAAACAATAGCCACGGTCCGCAGAACAAACATCCTTCGAAGATCTTGGAACCATTCGATGCAGTTTTTTATGCTCTTTCAAATGGTTCTGCATTGCAGTTTAACAAACGAGCTCTTAGAAAATAACCAAAAACTGCGACCCACGCTTTTTACCAAGGTCAATTTTCGCTAGTTTTCTAGATTCTCGTACTGGCTATTCGAAGAAACCAAGTAAAATATAAAACAGTTTTGTTCTCTTCCAAATCTTACTTCACAAAATTTTTAGAGATATTTTTTTGATGCTGTCAAATTCTATATTTCGTCAACTTGGACCTCACAGAGCATCACTCGGGAAGCAACTCAAGTGTTATTCCATGCAGCACCTTCTCGTCTTTCAAAGACAAGTTTTTTTGTTTCTGATTCGTTAAGTTTTAGAGGACAAAATCGACAAAATTCATGTTTTTGATGGCACCCCAAGATGTACCCGAATAATTCAAAATCTGATATTTTGAGCCTGGAAACGCTCATTTGTCTTGTAAAATTAGTAATGAATACTAATCTATCTTTAAGAGTATTAAAAACTGAGATTTCTTAGAGTTTGACAAGTCTTCATCTGGTATGGGTCTGCTAAAATTCGAAGTGTTGTTTGAAATTTTGTCAAAAAATTATGGAGAGTTCTGGAAAGGAGAAAGAAATTGTTTTGTATTTGTATCCAACTTGGCTTGCTCTATCCGCAGGTTACTTGGGCTTCTTCGGAGTATCAGTACAAGAATTTAGAAAAATAGCGAAACTTGACCTTGGTAAAAAGCGTGGGTCGCAGGTTTTGGTAATTTTCTGAGAGCTCGTTCGTTAAACTGCAATATATAGATAACCATTTGAAAGAGCATAAAAAACTGCATCGAATGCTTCCAAGATCTTCGAAGGATGTTTGTTCTGCGGACCGTGGCTATTGTTTGAAAAAGCGAAAATACTTTCGGGACGACCTAATATATTAGGTTGTCCGAAAATTAATGTCTGTTTTGAATTTCAATTGCAACAACTCATACACTTTTTATTCCTGAATAGCTTTCAAAGCATCAATCGATAGAGCAAAGCAAGCTCTACATGATGGCTGTCTTGCCTTAGCAACAGCTCTGATCCACCTCGAGTTTCGAGCCAAGAACTAAAAAGATTCAACTGCCCGAAAAAACAAGAAAAATCATAATTTAGTTCCTAAGAATTTCACAAAAATTCTAACTTTCTCACGTAAACACTATCCACATAAGACTTATGTGTACGCTATTGCCGTATTTTTTCCTCTGTTAAAAATCGAAAAAACGAAAATTTTCATGCTTTTGCAAAAGAGTGATGATGTGTCGTCCCCACATAAGTAAATGTATACTACACATCTGTAGAAGTAAATACGTGGATTTTCAGCTTTTTACAAGCTTAAGTTCTCGAGAAATTTGAATTTTAGTTTGGACCACCTGACTAATGAAAGCTATATTCGATATTTCTCGAGAACTAAAGCATGTAGAAAGCTAAAAATAAAATAGCATAAAGAAAGCTAAGCTAATTACTTTTATACTTTTACAGATTTGTAGTACACATCTACTTATGTGGGGACGACACAGCATCACTTTTGCAAAAGCATGAAAATTTTCGTTTTTTCGATTTCTAACAGAGGAAAAAATACGGCAATAGCGTACATATATGTCTTATGTGGATAGTGTTTACGTGAGCAAGCTAGAATTTTTGTGAAAATCTTACGAACTGAATTATGATTTTTCTTGATTTTTCGGGCAGTTGAATCTTTTTAGTTCTTGGCTTGAAACTCGAGGTGGATCAGAGCTGTTGCTAAGGCAAGACAGCCATCGAATGGTACCTTGAAATCTATTCAGGAATGAAAAGTGTATGACTTGTTGCGGTTGAAATTCAAAACGGACATTAATTTCCGGACAACCTAATACTTAAATTTCAGAAAGGTGAAATCGTCCGCGGCTCTCTCCGTCTCACAGGAGTAAACTTAACAAAACCGATATAGAACTTAGATGAGCCAACTACGTCAAAAGAATCCGATGAGGTGTATCGCTATTATTATCTATTGTATATTTTTAAAAATTTATCTTTATTTATTTTTATATTTATTTATTACAATTAATTTATATACTTTGTTTTATTATATTTTATTAAGTATATATTTTTCTTAAATCTATTTGAGTTATCTAACTATTCAACTATTCAAAAAATTAATTTATGGTGTTCAGATACAGGAGGCATGTAAGCGTCCGTCTGAAGAACCAAACTTGGACGAAGCAGTGACAAAACCGAAGGTACAAGGTTTGATGTATGTCCCATAGAAAATATAGGTAGTTGTTGTTTTTTGTGCCACACTATGAATGATGACAAGAAATAAAGTTTTGTTTTTGAGATGTTGTAATAGTTTAAGTGATTGGAACAGAATCTTCATTTTATTAAGAAGCAGTATAATATTTTTGTTGAGATTAAGGTTAATAATGGTAAAAGAAGTCACCGTCTATACGACGGGGACGAGCAACTGCTGGAAAGGAAGCCAAATCTGGCTGTCAGGTTAAATTGTCCACATGATGGATTTCGATTGCTTATCGCGTAATTTCGATGTAAAGCTGCTAGTTACCTCATATCATAAGAACCTAGTCAGGATTATGGTTACAGTCAAATTACTACCACCCGGAGTTTCTAAAAGCGAAACTCAGGGTTATTTTTGAGTCAACCCGGTGCTTTAAACTCGGAGTTTAGAGTTCCAGATTACTACCAGCGCTGCTCTTTCCAAAGATTATTCAAAAATAAATAATCTCGAAAAGGGAGCTTTTATTATTATACAATTAGAATGGTGTACATTGAGCTTATTTTCCCTTCAATAAATTTCAAGTGGCTATTCATCACGTCTAGGAGTCAGTTGAGATGTATCTTCAGCTTTGCAAAATTTGACTGCGCATTGATCACGAACATTTACTTTTTCGTTTATGCAAAGACGTGTCAGAATTTCCCTTAGATACGCTTCAGATTCTTCCCGTCCGTTTGCGTTCGGAAGCTAGAAACATAAACGTTCAGCGCCTATAGTCATGTTAAAGTCGCTTGCTGTAAACTATCCAGTTAAAGGAAGAAGTGAGCAGCATCAGCTAAATCTTTATCACCTTTTAACTTACTAAAAAATCAGCAATTGATGTTCGAATGCGTTTAAAAACTATACTCGCCAAAAAAAAGATCTTCTGTAAATCCGATTTTTAATAAAATTTTCTGTCGCTCAATCCTGGTCCGGATTTGATTAATCACTACCTTGAAAAGTGAATGCAAATCTAATTTGCAAATGTGGCGAGGCAGCGCACGCTTATCGCGATCGCGGCTAATGTATCGGGAAAAGGTAACCTTGGCTCTCCCCCTTCAACTCATTGTGTGACTATGACCGTTCGCATTGCTAAGAACATCTTTTAGTGTTAGAAATGGTCACCATTTCAACACATTAACATCCCTTATTTGTCTAACGCACTTACACTATAGAAACTCAAGTTTCATCCTGGTTTCCATCATTTTTGTGTCTTTTTGAAATTACAGAAATCATATTTTTACGTAATTCTTGCGATGCTATTTTTATGTATTCCCATCCAAGCTACGTATTCATAATTGCTCAGAGTATGAACGACGTGTTTGTGTTTGTGGAGTTTTATCTAGCTACAATATCAGCCAATTCTGGGTAATAAACTTTTCAAACCAAGGTCTTTTTCAAACTTTTATCATGATTCGAAATTTTGAGAAACGGTAATCTTACTGCTCTTTTATTTTTTATCATTCCCTCTAATGAAAAGAGATTCAGCACGATTATTGTCAGCAAGCATGCATCCATCACTAACTAGTCCAGATTTTCCACTCTTGCTACTCTTTTTTGAGACAATGTGTATTTATTGATACAATGTTAGTTATAAGAATCAGATAATTTTTTGATTTATGATTACGTTTCGTTAGCAACGCCACTTTGAATGCGCAGAATTCTCGAGCATGCTTTTTTCAACAAAACGCTGTTGATTCGATGATTTCTTGCAGTCTTGATATCTGAGAAGAAGAGCAGCTGGCGTTTTCTTTTTAAACAAAAAGTGTCATTGTAACAGCTGTTGGATTCTGCCTTACGCCTTGATTCTAGTCTCAACCTCAGGCGAAAAGGTCAGCCAGATGCCGACTCTAAAGTGAATGGGGTCAGAGAAATTTTTTCGCCTATCGCATCTATAACCGCTAACATCAGCTCACCTCGATAACGACACCCCCTCCCACCACTCAACACGACCCCCACTCAGAAGCCGAGGGCAGGCGGGCGCCGGAAAATACGCGTTGCAGATATTTCGCATTCCGCTCGCAAATTCCAGAAAAATGGTCAGCGAGTTTTTGAAAGACCGCCTGTTGAAATTTTTTCCGCTCTTATCTTTTGCAGGTATATTGCTGAATTTCTGAGGAATCGAAAACTCAGCAAACGACTCCGAAAAGTCCTGATTGCTTTCCAAAAAAACCGCGAGCGTGGTGCGAGTAATCAGTCATCTATTTTTCCGGTACCCGCCTGCCCCCGGCGATTGTCTGAGCAGGTGTGGCGTGCCACACCCTTGACCCTGGTCATAACAAATGGCTGAGCAAAAAGCGCCGGAAGTCAATGAATCAAAAACGGCAATGGGTGATTTTTGATATGCTTAGCGATATCCATCCGCCACGAAGTTCATGTTTGCAAAGTTCGCTTCGAACCTCATAACATTTCAAAATTTTGAGCCGGCAAAAATATTTTAAGCAAAAACTGCAAAATCCAGTTAATCTGTACAAGCAATCGGTTCTTTTTGAACAAAATAACTTATAAACATACGCTTCGCATCATTCAAATGCGTACGAAATGTGTGCTATACCCCTCTTGTTTATCTATCTGGTGATACTGGATTAAAGCTGCTAGTTAGACATTTTTCTCTGAAACCGAATCCCAATAAAAACGATAGAAACGCGCAGCAAAATGCCTTGAAAGGTAGCCTATGCTACTTTTCGGTGTTCAGAACACATGCGTCTTTAGAGAGTTGAAACTTCTTCTATTATTTAGGGTGGAAAAAATTTAGTAGGCAGAAATTGAAAAATCAACAAATCAATAAAGGCAATCCGTGTGTCCCGAACAAAAGGCGCATTAAAATACTCCTCCTCATATCATTTGATTCAGTTGGTTTGGCATCGGCAAAGGCGGGGCTTCGTGACCTAATTAAGACTAGGTGATCAGAGAGCACTCGCGCGAGAGAGACGCAGGTGCGTCGCGGGCGCGAGTTGAATCAAAGGTTACATTAGGTCTGCCAGATTTGGTTCAGATTCCTTGGCTCCTTCTATCCTTTTTGGGCAAACATACAAAACTTTCTGAGCAAAAAACTGCTGAATCGATAAATCGATAGAGTCGAACGGGTGGTCCCAACAAAATGGCTTGTTAACACACATTCCGCCCCATGCATTATGTCTGCCAAATTTTTATTCCAAATCTTATGGCTCCTTCTATCTTTTTTGAGCGAACATACAAAAAGTGGCTAATACAAATATATAGAGGGTGTTGTCCCAAAAAATGTATGAACGTTTGATTTTCAATAACTCCCCGATATGGAAAGCTTTCGTCGATCTTGAGCGTCATACGGTAGAACGGTAGACTGGGTTCAGCTTAGATTTACAGTATGGAGCGAATTACCGATTTCACTTAGTTACTGTAGGATTACGGTAGGAATTAACTAATTTTAAGCTTCTGACAGGCAAGAACTTCTTCTAAAAAATTTCAAACGACTGAAGGATGTTTTAACCGAGGTTTTCGGAGATGCTGAATCTAATTACAAAGTTTTTCGCTATCGTAATCCTCATCTCTCTACGCACTGAGACGCTTTTACTAACGAGAAGGTTTTTGACGATGTGTTTGTAATTGCAACGTTGATTTAGTAAGTTTTGGAAAAAAAAATGAAAAATTTAACGTTACAGCGCGCATACCGAAGGAAGAAGGGAAGTACGGTAGTGGAAAACTTTGTAATTAGAATCAGCATCCTCGAAAGTCTCGGTTTAACGTCCTTCGGTTTTTTTGGAATTTTTCAGAAGCAGTTCTTGCCTGTCAAAAGCTCAATAGTCGAAAATTCTCACCTTAATGCTACAGTAATGAAAATCGGTGATTCGCTTTATATTGTAATTTTAAGTTAAACACAGCCTTATCTTATAACACCCAAAAGTCCGCGAAAGCTCTCCATATAGGGAAGTTATTGAAGATGGAACGTTCAATACATTTTTGGGACACCCTGTATAATATATATGTTAGGTTGAACCGAAAGTTCGTTCCCACCATTTTCAAAAAAATCGCAACTTCTTTTCGTCACGACATTTTGCGCATCTCAAATTTTGTCTGGAAGAGAAAAGCATGTAGTTTCCAAAAGTCCCTTGATGACTTTTCAGCATGCTCAAGTTGCAGAGATAAAAATGAAAGAACGAAAACATTCGAAATTCGGAATTTTTGAGAAACAATTCCAAAAATCTAGAAACTGTGCGATAAAATCCAGAAAAGCAATTATCCTAATTTTTCTTATATTTGATTACTAAGTGAGTTAAGTTTGTGCTGATCGAGCTCTTCTTTCAAAAGTTATGTATTTTTGAAAAAAAAATGCCGAAAAATCAATTTCTTAGGAATTCTTAGGAAAGTGATTTTTCGGATTTTTTTTCAAACATAACTTTTGAAAGAAGAGCTCGATCAACGCAAACTGAACTCAGTTAGTAATCAAATATAAGAATAATTAGGATAATGGCTTTTCTGGAGTTTATCGCGCAGTTTCTAGATTTTTGGAATTGTTTCCCAAAAATTCCGAATTTCGGATGTTTTCGTTCTTTCATTTTTATCTCTGCAACCTGAGCATGCTGGGAAATGATCAGGGAACTTTTGGAAACTACATGTTTTACTCTTTTAGACAAAATTTGAGATGCGCAAAATCGTCGTGACGGAAAGAAGTTACGATTTTTTGAAAATGTTGCGAACGAACTTCCGGTTCAACCTAATATATTATTACATTAGGTCGTTCCGAAAGTAATGTCGCTTTTTTCAAATGAACGCCACATTTCATGGAATCAAGATTTTCGAGAGATCTTAGGAGCATTCGATGCAGCATTTCATCCTCTTTCAAATGGCTGTAATTTCATTGTATAATTTTCAATGAACTCTCGAAAAATCAACAAAATCTGAGACTCATGTTTTTTGCTATGGTCAAGTTCGGCTATTTTTCTGAATTTTTGTACCTATTCTCCGAAGAAGCACAAGTGGCAGGTAAATAGAGCAAACGCTATAGGACACATAGTA